ATGTTCCACTGATTTTGCTCCTCTACAGAACCCAGCCTAAGACAGCATACTAAAAAATGAATCTGTTATCTATCCTATCCCCAAATCTGCTTCTCCTTGGATATTTGTTACTTCAATAGGAAAGACAGCTACCTAATTAATTCTCTCACCTGCATGTAGAATTGATCATTCCCTCATGATTATCCCCCACAGCACTTTAGACCCTAAAGGCTGAAGGCAGGAGTTTCGGAGAAACAGCGAGAGCAGAATTCTACAATCTTGACACAGACAGCTAATGTTTACAAGGGCTTTTACAGTCTGCAAGGTGCTTTCACAAATAACACTTCATTGTGGTAAGGGCTGCTCACCACCTCCACCCAGAAAGTGATACAAGTGCTGATTTTGAAGACACTCCCCCAGCAACACACGCCATTTACACAGCACTGTGGTTGATGGGATTTCCATCTAGTGTCTTAAATGTTTAAACAGAACTTGAAAGAAACTGCTGGCCGTGTGACAGCTGGGACAAGTGTCAAGGAAGATCTAGGTGTAGCAAGCTTTTTTCAGAAGGGGTAATTCATCAGAGTCCTAGCATTTTAATAAAATACACTTCTGCCTTATTCATATAATGGGCAGGATGCCAGGGTTCAAATCCACATGTAAGTCTCACTTGGGAGTAAGAATCAGCCCAGGAGGTCTCAAGATTGGGAAACTGCTCCCCCAACCTGTGCAGCACACCTTGTGCTGAAGGCGACAGCATTCACTGCAGCAGCCGAGCACCATGGCACCCCCAGCCCTGCCCCCAGAACAGAGGGGATCAGAGCAGCTCACAGGGCCCCTGCTGGTAGGCTCACTGCAAGAGAGCATTGGCTCTGCACTCTGGATTCTTCTCTAGAGACCTCCTCAGAGAGGAGCCCAGGGCTCCACCAGCTCAGGCTGCTGGCTGGAGCAGCCTCCCCTCCACATCTGCTAAGGGTTTTGCCAGATGAGCAGATGAGGTATGCACACCCTGCAGCTGCAGCCTGCGGATGCCTCCCCCAGATCACGGGATGGAAAATGGTATTAGGACGGCAGGGCTGAAAGTAAACCAAGAATGGGAGGAGCATGTGGGCCAAGGACAGCCAGTCTGGAACTCAAGAGACTAGGACCTTCCTAGAACTCTCTCCTGTAAATCCAGCTCATAGGTGTAGCTGGTTTGCATCTGGCGTATAGCAGGCATAGGTTTAGGTATAAGTTTCCGGAATTAACGAACCATAACGCAACATTTGAGACAACAAAAATCCACCCTTGTGACCCTCATAAGCCATTAGGAAACGTTTAATTATTCAAAAGGTGCTGTTATTAAGGGCTCAAGTCCCAGATGCCACTGTCACCAAGCTGAATAAGCTGATCACTTTTTGTTGTGTGTGGTTCCCCCTCCCCCAAATATCTGGCATCGAAACTTACACCAAGTGCCAAGCAGAAAGGAAACCACAAAGGGGAATCCCCGGGTAGAAACCTGGAAAGTTTGGGGAAAAGAAAGTCACATGCTTATTTGTATTTTAGGAAAGGATTGACAAATGACTTCGAGACCCAGAATGATATATATCCTGAAAGCAGGAACGAGCCTGGGGGTAATGCAACCTCCTTATTTTCCAGTAGTGGAAACTGAGCTCTGGTGGTAAGTAAGAGTGTTGCTTGAAGCCTCACAGTTAGCGAGCCCAGCTGCAGTAAGACTCCTCTGCCTTACTGAAACAGCTCCACACACCAGTTTTCAAGGCTGTGACCTTTCAGAAGCAGATTGTCAGGCCTGTCTTCCGAGGTGTCTCTGGGTGGGTTCAAACAGACAACCTCTCGGCTAGTATCTGGGTGCCAAACTGTTTGCACCACCCAGGGACTCCTCTCAACCATGCTACTCCCCACTTCTCACTTGCTATTACCAGGCTTGTTTCCTCAGAAGGAAATGGGAAGGAGGGGGTGAAGGAGGGAGGAGAGGACGCAAGGTGGGTGGGGGTGGGGGTGGGGGCAGGCCCAAATGATCCCTTAGGTCCCTGCCAGCTCTAACATTCTGTAATTCAATGATTCCTTACCCTAACCACCTGGCCTCAGAAAAGAAAACAACTGACTGTCGTAAATCAGTCATTAACTAAAACCACATAAAACTTACCTTCCCCCACTTTAATATAAATGTTTCTTGCTATCTTGAGTTCAGTGAATGAAGTGACTGCTCCATACTCCTTTTGGGCCCAATTTAACAGACGTTCATTTCCATGGGGGAAGTTCCTTTCTTTTGTTTCTGCTGACAAGGAGAAGTTTCCGGATGAAAAGCGGACCACAGAACCCTTAGACATCTAGAGGAAACAGAATTGCATATTTAATGTGGTACAGTGACCCGGAGCTGAATGATAGAGAAAAAGCGCTTATCAGACAACTAATGGATACTTGTCAGTCAGTCCTCCTTCTTTTGTTACACAGGTAAATCATCTTTCTATCAGCAGCTGATTCAAGAAATATTTCCAAGCCTAGTTCTCCCAGGTAATGGCAAAACTACCAATGACACAAGATGTATCTTCGAAAAAAAAAATTTTTTTTAATGTACAATATTTTATCGTGTTTTCAGTGAAGGCTTACATGGCAATTTAGGTTCCCAGTTCTACACAAGTTGTTCGGTGACATTGGTTGCATTCTTCACAATGCACAAATATTCTCATTATTTCTGTTCTGTTGTTCTGTTTCCAGTCTCTTCAAATTTTTAAAGAATGTTGTGATGACAGAATGCAGAGTGCACGTGAGTAATCATAAGATTTATCATGGTCATTTTCTAGATATCTAAATTGAAGGATAACCTTTCAAGTAATGTGTTTTAAGTCAAACGGGAAGCCTTGGTGAGTGTCCTTATGGGCTTGGAAGAGGCTTGAGGATCAGGGCAAAGGATCCCAAGTCCTGCTAGCATCTGAAGTTGACTCCTGGGCCTTCCACAACTGCAGTTATCTGCCGACAGAGTCGCCCCAACGGGGACACATCAAGAATCCCTTCTGTATGTGTTCTCCTGAGCACGGAGATAAAAAGTATAGCCAGAGGTTGTCAGTCTTCTACCAGATTACACTATTTTCATAGCAGGGAGATGAATGTGTATAACAGTTTATTTTGTAAGACCCCCAAATTCCCACAGATAATGAAGTCAAGAAGATTTAAGCTCATCCTAATAAAACTCTCGGAATGATTTACACAAGCCTTCAGATTATTGTGGGATGTATTTAGACCAATACTGACCTAGCTTATGACAGTATATATAATTCACACACACAAAGGAAGAAAATTAGTTGCTGCTGAAAATACACGTCATCTTTATTGGCTAGCATCTACAAAATAAGTGATTTTTATCAACATCAGAATGAAACCTCAAAATGTTGGCAAAAAGGCTCACAAATTCCTAAGTCATATAACTATAAATGTCTTGCATTAACTTTCACATTAACTATATATCCTTAGCAAAAAGCAAGCAGTGTCTGAAAAGGTTATAAACAGCCAGACCAAAAAGCAGGTTGAGAGCAGGGATTTTGCTTTATGGTTTCCTTCTATCCCTTGCAGCACTGTTTTCAAACACTGATCTCAACACACATATAAAACAGTACTTACCCTAACCCTAACTATTGTGCTAGGCATTGTTTTCTATTCAATTGTATGTACAGGTAGTCCCCAACTTACGACATATGTGAGTTACCACGAACCATACTTAGGACCATCTGCTTTTGTGGGGTTTTCCTGTGCGTGCGTATGTGCATCTTATTGTTAGTAATATGTACCACGTACAATGTTGCAGCGCATAATTTGCTGGTGTTATCATCCTCAGATGTTCACCTGCAGATGTTCAATTTTATGATTCACTGTTCAAAACACTGCTGCACAGATTTAAAGATTTTCTAAATTAAATCAGGGGCTTCAATTGCTTGAAAACATAGACCCAAACGCTGATCGCTTTGCTAAAGTCGAAAGGCAGGTTCAAGAAGCAGTGAAATGGTACCTCAAAATATATGAAGAAAAAAATGAGAGGACCATACAGACAACTCTCACTAATTTTCTGATTAGAAATGCCATCCCCATTCCCAGGGATAAACCAGATGATCCAGAATCTTCCACAAGTGGAGTTCTTACTGCAGCTGACAAAACGCCAACATCATACATCTCTTCTCTATCACTGGAATAAATTTTTATGATTTGTGTATTGTTTTATGTATGTACATATTAAAATATATCTGTAAATTTATATGTAATATTTCCAACTCCTAAAGACAAATAAGGATTGGATTTATAAAGATACTGATAATAAAAGGCAATAATAAAGAAAACTAAAAAAAAAGAGGTATTCGACTTAGAACCAACTTACATCAGAGTTGTCAGAATGGAACCTCGTTCCATTCTTTTGCTATGAAGTCAGCGACTACCTGTACACGTTTTGTAAATGCTGGTCAAGAGTACTTGACTTAATTGATTCCATGGTCCACTAATGCTGTGGTTCTCCATCTTGGCTGAAAACTTGAAGAGCTTCTACATCCCCTGATGCCCAGGCCAAAACCCAGATCAAACCAATTAGTATCTCTGACGTGGGGCCCGGGCATCAGTTTTTTGTTTTTGTTTTTAATATTTTATCATGTGCTAGGTGAAAGTTTACACAGTGAATTAGACTTCCATTTAACAATTTTTATACAAATTGTTCTGTGACATTGGTTACAATTTTCACAACGTGTCAGCATTCTCATTGTGTCTGTTCTGTTTGTTCTGTTTCCACTGATTTAGCTTCTCTTCCCCTCCTTGCCTTCTCATCTTTGCTTTCGGATAGTTGACCATTTAGTCTCGCATAGTTGATTGTTTAAGGGAGTACATTACTCACGAGTGTTATTGCTTATTTTATAAGCCAATCTATTATTTGGGTAAAAGCTGGCCTCCAGGAGTGGCTTCCGTGCCAAGTTCAAAGGGTATCTTAGGATGATAGTCGCAGAGGTTACCCTAGTCTCTATCAGTCCAGTAGGTCTGGCAATTTTTAGTAATTTGATTTTGTTCCACATTCTTCTTCCATTCTATCTGGGACCTTCTATCGTGTCCCTGGTAAGAACGGTTGGTAGCAGTAGCCAGGCAACATCTAGTTTTTCTGGTCTCAGATTAGAAGAGGCCGTGGTTCCTGTGGGCTATTACTCCTATAGACTAGTTTCTTCTCTGAGTCCTTGGTTTCCTTCATTCCTTTTTGCTCCAGATAAGTAGAGACTAATAGTTGTATCTTAGGTGACCAGGCATCAGTTATTTTTTTAAAGTTCCCTGGGTGATTTCAATGTTCTGCCATAGTTGAAAACCACTGCCCTAACTAGTACTAAGTGATCCACAGTCTGAAAAGCACTGTTACAGGACAGGATCAGTGGGGTGCCTAGCAGCTTCCTTTACAACAGTGGTTCTCAATCCAGGGCAGTTTTGCCCCCCAGGGGACATTTGCAGTATCTGGAGACATTTTTGTAACTGGGAAGGTAGTGCTGCTGGCATCTAGTGGGTAGAGGCTGGGGATTCTACTAAACATCCTACAATGCACAGGACAGCTCCCACAACAATTATCCAACCCAAAATGTTAATACCAGTTGCCATCGAGTTGGCTCCAACTCATGGCGACCCCATAAGTATCAGAGTAGAACTGTAACATAGGGTTTTCAATGACTAATTTTCAAGAAGTAGGTCACCAGGCCTTTTATTCATGGCACTTCTGGGTGGACTCAAACTTCCAACCTTTCTGTTAGTAGTGGAGTGTGCTAAACATTTGCACCACCCAGGGACTCCAAAAATGGTAACAGTGCTGAGGATTTAAAAAAAAAAAAACCCTTCTCTGCACTTTGGGCTGACTGAATGTTCCTAAACCGAAAACCTATTGCCAGTGAGTTAATTCCAACTCATAGAGACCCTACAGGACAGAAAAGAACTGCCTGATAGGGTTTCTAAGGTTGTAATCTTTACGGAAGCAGACTGCCCTATCTTTCTCCCTTGAAGCGGCTCGTGGGTTTGAACCACTGTACCACCAGGGCTCCTTCTGAATGTTCCTACCACCAAAATATGCACTGGATCCCCAATTTGGATCCCGAACTGACAGTGCTTTCTATACTAGAAACGGGACAATTTAGTCCTTAATAAAGAATAAGAGGATTTTTCTAATTTGTTCTGGCTTAGAAAGCCCAGAAGTGATCATCAATAAACTGGGCATAAACTGTGATGACCAGCAATGGCTACCATTTATTGCATACCTACTATAGTTATCTAGTGCTGTTATAACAGAAATACCACAAGTGGATGGCTTTAACAAAGAGAAACTTATTCTCTTACAGTCTAGTAGGCTAGAAGTCCAAATTCAAGGTACCAGTTCCAGGAGAAGGTCTTTTCTCTCTGTCAGCTCTGGGGGAAGGTCCTTGTCATCAGTCTTCCCCTAGCCTCGGAGCTTCTCAGGCACAGGAACCCAGGGACCAAAGGACACATTCTGCTCCTGGAGCTGCTTTCTCGGTGGTGTGAGGTCCCCACGTCTTTCTGCTGGCTTCTCTCTCTTGTATCTCAAAAGAGATTGACTTAAAATACAACCTAATCTTGTAGATTGAGTCCTGCTTCATTAACATAACTCCCACTAATCCCACCTCATTAACGTCACAGAGGTAGGATTTACATCACATAGGAAAATTACATAACAAAATGGTGGACAATCACAAAATACTGGGAATCATGGACTAGTCAAGTTGACATATATTTTGGGGAGACACAATTCAATCCATAACACCTACCATGTATCAGGCACTACAAAATGCTATCAAATGTAGTAATGACAATTTCTAAATGTCCTAATGTCAGTTACAAGCAATACTAGTGGGGAATGTTTGGCTTAAACTTTGTTTTGACGTCATCTGCATAAGTAAAAGCTCCTGAGCCACTTACCTGCCAAACACCCATTCCCACCTATGTATAATTCCTCTGAGGAATCATCAGCACTCAACTGCAAACAATGTTGATTTGGATTTCTGACTTTTGCACTGTAGTCAAATCTTCTTTTCACGGAAAAGCACGTGTACTAAAAAGTCATTTTTATCAAAATTATCACTGAAAAAAACCCACAACAGTCCAGAGGCCTTTATCCCACTGCCTGCACAGCTCTTAATGTTCAGGTAAGTATCTTTGGAGGATCTGCTTCTAGTGTTCTCATTCACATTACAGCTATAAAATAAAACACTTGAGTTTTTAAATACACTATGTATAGAGTCACAGGGGTTAAGAGCTCGGTTGCTAAGCAAAAGGTCAGCAGCTCAAACCCACCAGCCGCTCCTTGAAAACCCCA